ATAATAAAAATTATATATTTTACCCACATTCTCTAAATATTTTTACTAAACTATCATGACAACTATCATTATAATATTGCATTAATTTATATACTTCTTCTGTTGTTGGAACTGGTGTTATACGTTTTTGATCTCCTTCATTAAATAATTTACGTATTTTACTCATGTATTGGAGTAATTCTTTTCGTTTCATGTTTTGAAATGATATAGAATTAATAATGTTTTTATATTCATCATCATTTAAAATATAATATTTGACATATAAATCTCTTATAGTTCTACATAATCTATCAATAGGAGCTGTAGAAGTATGAATTTTTGTTGCTGTAACAAATAATTTAATGTTCTTAGAATTAATATAATCAGCAAAATCATTTGATGATATACCTCGTTCTCCATCAAATATTAAATTTGTCATTTTTAATCCTTGTTTAAATAATTCTTCAAAACCATTTATAATTGATGATGCAGTTTTATCTTTAATAGAAATAACATACCCATATCTTGTATTAATATTTATACCTATTAGGTATGATTGTAATGGATTATTTTTATGAACTCTGTGATCAAAATTTATTTTTACAGATGGATTATCATATTTTTGTTGAGTTACTCTCTTATCTTTATCAGAGAAATACAATATATCAAACATATAAGTATTTGGTATTGCAACAAATTTATAAGCAAAATTTTTATTATAAAATGAATATTTAGGTGGAGATGGTTTAAAATTATTAGCATAAATTATATCTTTGTTATTGAAATAAGTATATATATTTTTAGCTAATGATGGAACATATTGATTCATATCTACATTAAATAATTGTTTAATTGTTCTATCTTTCTTAAAATAATTAGTTGGTGGATAAGTAGCTATAGTAGTGGTTGTACCGTGTGGTTGAATTGACGAGAAACTCACGCCGTAGGCTGACGGTTGAGGTCTTAATTCAGCATTTAATTGAATTTCTGGTGTTTGTTTAATTTCTTTAACTTCTGGTTTAGGTGTATTTGCATCTTTTTTAAATTCATGTGAACCAGTAACTTCTAGCATTTTAGATATACTTGCATTTATACTTCGTTTATTAGTAGTATATATATCATATATATCATCTAATAATTTTTGTGTTCTATTATTACTAATATTAAAATAATTATAAATACCAGAATAAAAATTTTTTAAATTGTGCTTTGAGTTAGTATTAGGATTAATCCCATATAATTTATCTCTATTATTATATGCATATTCTATTTTATTTTTATAAGTATTATAAAATTTAGATAATTCTTGTTCCTTTGTCATTTATATTTTTTTAAAATGAACCCAATTCAGTATTAAATTTAATATTTCTACAGAATTGAGATCTTGATTTAATTTTAAAATCTTTAGTAAATTCAAATGATGGTCTAAGTTGTAAAAGATTAAAATTAAACGATTCTCCATCATATAGTTCTTATAT